CTATTTTTTCATTACTATGGAGTTTCTAGGTTAAGATCAACAAGTATTTTTTGTAGATTGATTGCTTTTGATGAAAGGGAAAACTCCATCTTTAGGTTTCATATTTTATATGGTTATTCAATGAAGATTGGTAACTTTTATGTTTAATCAAGGATCTCAATTTTATTAACACTGTTCCAAACAAATTCTTAATGCTAAAACAAAAGCATTTTATAATGAATTTATATTTTATTCTTGTATTTCCTTATCTTGATTTCATAGAGAGGGTTTTATAAGGGTGTGAGTATGGTCATTTGCTATGCTTGGATTTAGTAAAATGGGCTAATATGGTTCATGAATATGCTTAATTACCTATTTGATGTCTCAATGATCATGTCACCTTTAGTTGATGGCATTAAGGCTGGACTTCTATTACATATTGCTTATTTCAAATGTGAGATTTGTTTTTTTATTAGATAAGGAAATTATTAAAGCTTGGTAACTTAGAGGTTTCAAGCTTTAAGCTTGGAACTTTAAATTTAAAGAACATAGGTGGATGGGATGGGATAGGACTACCATGTTAGAAGCTCATTACTAAAAAAAAAAAAAAACACATTATATAAGTGAAAGACCATTAATTTGTAATTGTTATTCTTTAAAAAAATTAAAAGTATATTTTTAATTATTTTCTTTAGTATATTATTTTATTGGAAAATCTCTTTTTTACTTAAAAAATTCTTTTGACTTAAATAAAAAAGCTTTCTATATTTTTGTTTTATTTCTTATTCACTATGTATTTGTCCTTTCTTGCTATATTTAGTTTTAGGCTTTTGTAACTTTATAAATTTGATTTTCACTTACAATATTTTTATGAATGCTTTAAATCATGTTATGTATTAACATTATTATATTAAAAGATTATCTAATTTTTTTGTGCATGATGTTTTAAATTGTCTCTTAATGTTTAAGTGTTGATTTTATATAAATTCTATAACATATATTAATCTATATTTCTTTTATGGATGTAATTATCTTTACTTAACTTGCAATCTAATTGTTTTTAAGGTTTGGTCATCCTCTAATTGATTTTGTGAGGTTTTAAGGTTTACCATTTTTAAGTGTTAGAAATTTGTTATATGATTATTCAATTATAGGTAAGTCCATTTGTACTTTATTTTCTATCTTAGTTTTCATTTTTTTATATATATTTTATTATTTATTCCTCAATAAGAGGTAAGATCTTAGTTATTATTTTGTGTTGAGGCTACTTATCTTTTGTTGAATTGTTAAGTGTTAATCACTAATAGAAAGCAATAACGATGACAAACAAATTATTATTCAATATTTCAAATTGCTAATAAATAATTTTATTTAATTCCCATAGTTAAATTAGTAACACTACATAACACTAAGGTTGAAGATAACCGTAACTAAATGATTTTTTTAATTAGGAAATAGAAGTATTTGTAAGCTTTTGACATGTGAATACTTAACTTATTGCTATTTGTCTCTTGCTTTTTAAGGTCTAAGATTTGCCAACTATGTGCTTTTTGCCATTTGTAATTTAAATTCTACGTGACTGATGTCAAAGGAACATTTTTATAGAATAATGGAGGTAGCTTTTCTTAACCTCTTAAAAATGTTTCAACTTGGGGTAGAATTGGCTTTCATTTTTGTCATAGTTCCATTTTAATGTTGAATTAACATATGCATGCCTTTTATATTTATTGCTCATCTTCTACCAAGCAAGATCGAGCAAATAGTGTAAAAACGTTGTACCAACGATCTTTATTAATATGCATAATTGTAGCCTTGCTACCAAAATAAAAATGAATTTGGGTTTGTCTCCATGTTTAGTTTATTTAATTGAAGTTGGGTTGGATTATGAATGATGGTAGTGGGAATTATTCTTAATTGGTTTTACCTTTTTTTTTTTCTTAATTTAAAGGCTTAACTATGAGAAATTTTACTGAAGTGAAGAAAAACAGGTAATCTTTACTTTTACTAACTTTCTTTCTTTTGAAGTTTCATAATCATTTTTAATTAATCCATTTTTTTATCTTTTTAATTTGGTAATAAATGTTAATGCTGTGTCTTATCAATTAAATTTATTCTTTAGATTGTTTATTGATTAAAAGTTTGGTTATCTTACGTTAGTTTTTTTTTATTGTTTTATTGAGTTTTAGCTTTATATATGATGGATTATTTTGATCAAGTAGGCAAAATAAGATTATGAGAATTCAATAGTAAGATTAAATAAATAAAGGTTATTGAAACCTTATTGGCAATGTAATTCATATTTGTTTGATCATGTATAGATATGAATACATTAAGACAAATTTGTTGGATTCCTTCCAACGGACAGTTCACATAACATATCCTTACAAGTCAAAGGGTGTAAAGAAAGCTTTCTCCTAATTGTTTGGACACTTGATGCATATAAGATATGCCTAATACAACTCTTTATCACTAATAGTTCTTAGTGTCTAATGCTTAACCTTTTTTTTTTCTTTGTCAAACTTTAATTACTATTGTTCACTATTGCTCCTCAAATTTCAATGAAAGTTGTATCAAAGAAGCCATCAAGATTTGAATTTTTTTTGTCATGGTTCTTTCTGTAGTTTATAACAATATTCAGATTAAATAGATGAAGGCTATTGAAATCTTATTTGCAAGGTAACTTATATTTGTTTGATCATGCATAGTTATGAATATATCGAGACAGATTTGTTGAATTCCCTCCCTTGGGCAGTTCATACAATAGATCCTTACAAGTTAAAGGGTGTAGAGAAAGCCTCATCCTAATTGTTTGAACACTAGGATGCATATATTGTATGCATAAAAAAACTATTCAGCATTAATAGTTTTAGGTGTCTAATGCTTGACCTATTTTTGATCCAACATTAATTACTTTTGTCCACCTGGTGTTCCTTAATTTTCAATGAAAATTGCATAAAAAAAAAACCAAGATTTAATTTTTTGTGATGGTTGTCTGTATGGTTTGTATTTTGATTATTATTTATGGTTTATTAAATTTATTATGAAGAAGACTTGAAAGTAAAATAGGTTTAAAAGGATATGAAAATTAAGAGTTATTAGACTTGAGACAAAGGTGTTCTTTCTGTCATAGAAGTTTCACTGATAGGTTAGGTAGGAATAAGTAAGTAGAGAACCTAATTACTCACTTTTGACAACTAATTTGGTTTGTTTTGCTTAATTTGACTATTTTCTCCCTGTAAAAGGTTCTTAAGTATCCAACCATCTAAAAACATTACCTTTATCTGTTGTCTTTGTTTAGCTTGACTATTACTGTCTTTAATTTGAATTATTGCCCACCAATTTGTAAGCGGAAGAAATTGTAATAGTTTTTGGGCACTTGAAATGTAAATTTGCTTGCTTATATATGGTTTTTTAAGTGAAAAATTTGTTAGGTTCTATGGTTTATATATTGTTCATAGTTGTGGTATGTTAATTGATACAACATTTGAAAAAAATTATGCTGTCGTTATATATTTGACATTGAATTCCCGCAACAATGCGCTGGCATTTTGCTAGTTATGTTTAATGTTGAATAACAAAATTAGAATAAACATGGTGATAGTAGATTTAATAGCAATATGAAAATCATGATCTTTACAAAACTAGCAGAGAACTTATTAATTCAACCATTGAATAAATCCCACAGCAAAGGAACTTGATAAAATGATACTTCCTACACCTATGAAAAAAATTGATCAATAAAGAACTTTAACATCACTAGGAATCATGAAAAATGTCCTAGCTTACAAAGTTTTTGACTTTGAAAACCCAATGAAAGAATAGATGGCATTGGATGGATTGACCAAAACACATGTAAATCATCCAACAAGAAGCAAATCATTAAAGCAAAAAATTGTAAGCCAACATTTTTACTCTCACTTCTAGAACAAACGTAAGTTCATAAAGTGAAACCAAAGCATCAACAGCAAGAGTGGTCCATTAGAAAAATAGATGAAAGGCCAACATCACCACCATGAAGTCACATTCCATAAGATTTATTACCAAAAGAATCTCTTGCAAAAAAACTCAAGCTATTAAAAAGTAAACCTATTTACAAAGCACAAAACAACATAGATGCTATTTACATTAATCTTTTGACTCTTATATATAAGGCATAACACATTAAAAAAGAGTAAAGCTGTTGTTGTAGGCTAACAAAAGAACTTGAGAGTTTGGTTTATGGACAAAGAATAATTTATAGAAACTATGCATGAAAATATTAATATTTATGGGTTGATATGCATTTGTGTTTCCTATTTTTTATTTGTCTTATTTAAAACCAATTATATGCATGGATTAATAATTTGTTTTTCTATTAGTTCTATTATAATTATGGATTGATAGACTTACGTTTTTTTTTTTTTTACAACAAGAAATCATTATTAATGTTTCGTATATAATTTTTTCATCAAACAAGTAGATCACCTGCAACGAAATGTGTTATTCTTTTTATTATATATATATTTTTATAATTCAATCATTAAAAATTTTTCAATCAATATTTATAACTTATATTCAAACTTAAATGTACTATGACAACGCTTGTAAACTCAAAGTTCTAGTCATGATCACTAATTGTAGGTTTGATAATTTAAAATATTATATAGTGATATAATACAAAAATAATAAAAAAATAATATAATTTAAAATTTTATAAAAAATTATATATAAATTTAATAAAAAATATATTTTATATATTTTATATCTAAATAAATTATAACATATAACTTTTATATAAAATATAAAATTAATATATAAAATTTTAATATTTTATATTATATAAATATATAAATTATTAATTTTTATTATCATTCTTACAAGTTTTCTTATCAAACGTTTTTAAGAACTTATTATGATATTGGATTAACATCATATTAGTAAAGTGACCGCCCGTATCATTAAAGTTAGTCAAAGTTAATAATGATAAAATTTTGGCAATGTTATTCATTGAACTTAATCGAACAATTAATAAAACTGTAAAACTAAAATTTGAGAGATTAATATATAAGCGTTAAATCCATCATTTCGCATAAAGAAGAATGGTATAACCTCAAAAGGACACAACTGTCCTTGTGGCCCTCCCAGCAGGACAATCAATCTCTCTGCTTCTTACTTACCCTCCTCTTTGCCGTTGTTTTTACCTTTGTCATCGGCATCCTCCATAATTCCTTCTAGATCCCTCCATGGCCACCCTCTCAGCTTATCCTAGCGCTAACCCTAACCCAAATTTCCTTTCTCCAACTGACCAAACCAACCACAACCAGGAATCACTCCCTCAGGTGCAGCCTCACCCTTCTACTGATCCGGAGCCGAACCCGACTCCGAACGCTAACTCTAATTTCCACACCCCACTTTCGACCCCATCCGACGCGGTTCCTCCAGCTGCTCCGCCGCCTTCTCTTCTCCACCTCTCCTTCAACCAGGACCAGGGCTGCTTCGCTGCCGGCACTGACCATGGCTTCCGGATCTACAATTGCGATCCATTCCGTGAGATCTTTCGCCGAGATTTCGATCGAGGCGGTGGCATCGGCGTTGTCGAGATGCTTTTTCGGTGCAATATTTTGGCTCTCGTTGGCGGTGGATCCGACCCGCAATACCCACCAAATAAGGTTATGATCTGGGACGACCACCAGAGCCGATGCATCGGCGAGCTTTCGTCTCGTTCCGAAGTAAGATCGGTTCGGCTTCGGAGGGATCGAATCGTGGTCGTTTTGGAGCAGAAAATTTTCGTACACAATTTTGCGGATTTGAAGCTGCTGCACCAGATTGATACCATCGCGAATCCAAAGGGACTCTGCGCGGTCTCTCAGGGGGCCGGGTCTTTGGTTTTGGTTTGTCCTGGATTGCAAAAGGGGCAGGTTAGGGTGGAGCATTACGCCTCGAAGAGGACTAAGTTTATTATGGCTCATGATTCAAGAATTGCGTGCTTCGTACTCTCGCAGGATGGGCAGTTGCTTGCTACCTCGAGCTCGAAAGGGACGCTGGTTCGCATTTTTAATACTGTTGATGGTAGCTTGCTGCAGGAGGTATTTGAATCAATACTATTTCTTACTTTTTATTGATAGTGTAATTCAATTAGGCAAATTGGGTTTAAATTTTGATGATTTAAGTGGAAATCCCTAGCATAAATGTTAATTTTGGAATTGCTTCGAAGGTTTTTTTTTAAATTTTTGTTATAGTTTTTACGTAATTAGGCTGTTTTTGGTTAAATTACCATAAAGAAACGTAGTTTGCAAGAAATTTCATCAGAATGTTTGTCCTATGATGCTCTGCATAGATGTTAGTATGTTTGCTTTATCTATATTTTATTTCCTTTATGATTCTGTCAGCTTTTAAAATTCCTTTGAGTTGCTTGTAAATGCTAACGAGTTATAAAGTGACTAACTGGGAGCTAAATAAAGGTATTCATGTCAAATGAATGTGGATTGTAACCTTTTTACCATTGTGATCTTTTCACGTTCTATGCATCTAAGCAATCCAGCTTTCTCATGGCTTGCTTATTATGCTATCGTCTGGTGCATTATGATTGCTAGGCTTTGTTCTTTTGTGTTTTCTACATGTAAGTGAATGTAAGATTATATCTCACATGTGTTCCACAATTTTTTTGACATTCTGAAAGTTCTCTTTCATAAATATAGGTAAGGAGGGGTGCAGATAGAGCTGAAATTTATAGTTTGGCATTCTCTTCAAATGCCCAATGGTTAGCTGTTTCAAGTGACAAGGGCACCGTCCATGTTTTCAGCCTTAAGATTAATGCTGGATCTCCAGGCATTGACAGGTCTCGAAGTGCATCAGACATTGTTACATCACCCCACTCCTCACTTTCTTTTATCAGAGGTAAAGTGCCCATTTTTGCTTACTGCTTTTGCTGTTGTCGTTTTGAGCAATGTAATTTTGTCTTCAACCACTGAATCGCTATGAAGTTGATATGATAGTTTTAGATGATGCTAATGCTCAAGGTTTTCTATTCACTGCAAATTATGTTTTCTTTAACAAAATAGAATCTATCAGGGGACAAGAACATCCATGTTAATTGCCCTTTAAATCTTCCTTTTTCTCATTTCTGAGATTCTTGTCACCTATGGCATGAGGAATAAAATTACAACTTTCAGTTGGATTATGCTGATGACCCATTTGGGAATTAGCATTCTAATAGCGCGTAACAAGTTTATGTCTAATACAGCTGCTAGACATTTGGCATTTAAGATAATATCTTCAAATTTTGTGAGTGATGATGATGAGCAGCTAAACTAGCCTTCTGCCTTAGGCAAGTTAACCAAGTATTTCAGCTAGCAGAGAAATTAACACTTGAATAGAATGCGACAAGTAAAAAGACTGTCTAATATTTCTATTAGAAATTAGGCATTTGAGACAATGTTTTGGTTTTTGGGGAGTTAATTATGGTAAGAGTCTAAACTGTTTTTTTGTTTGTAGGAGTATTGCCGAAGTACTTCAGCTCAGAATGGTCAGTGGCTCAGTTCCGCCTGGTTGAAGGTTCTCAGTACATTGTTGCTTTTGGTCACCGAAAGAATACAGTGGTAATTCTTGGCATTGATGGAAGGTAAGAAAAAACAAATACTAATAGGGATATCTATATTGGCTGGAACAACCAACCATCAATATGTATGGAATTTTTTGCTGTTTCTGTTTAATTTGATGTAACATGCTGGTAATTGATGGAAGGTAAGTAAAAGCAGATGCTAATGGGGAAATATAAAAAATTGGTTGGAACAACCATCCATGAGTATAAAAGTTTTTGCTTTTTCTTCTTAATTTGAATTTAACATGCTGGTAAATCAACAAACTAACATATTGGGTGGCTTTGGAAGTATTTTGTGAATTATAACTGTAGACACCCAATTTGGTTCAGACCCAGATTAATTGGGTCTGGTTCAAATGGGTAAGTCCATTTGCATTTTTTATTTTTATTTATTTATTCATTTATTTATAAATGTATTTTTTTAATATTATTATTTATTTTTTTTGACTTCATCTTTTTTTTATGGATTTTCGACTGAGATTTGGATAAAAAAATTAGAGTGTATTTTGCCATGAATTTGGGGGCTGACAGAGGTGAGATTGGATTCAAAGATTGAATCTAAATCCAGAGGGAATTGGGATTGATTAGAAACTCTTCTGATCAATCCCTATAAATAGGTGTTGAAGCAGAACCCACAGGACACGAAAAAACACAACAGAGAGAGGAAACAGAAGCAAGATTGTGTTTAGATTTTTTTTAAAAAGTTTTTTTGAATTTTTTGGAGTTTTTTTTTGAAAAATTTTTAAAAATTTTTCAGAATCTGATGAAATTTTTCGACAAACTTTGAATTTTTTGACGAATTTTTTGGTTAACTTTGAAGTTTTCAGTGTTTTTTTTTTAGATTTTGGTTGAACATTCAATCGGAATCTGGGATTGTTTAGAGAGAAGGAAGAGAAAAGAAGGGAAGAGAGAGGAAATGAGAAGGAAAATCTAAAGAAAAATCAAGTTTCAGCCTTATATACCTTTTTCAAAACAATGTCATTTTTGTGTTAGTAAACCCATAGGATCTGCGCGTTTTATCAAGATTCGACTTGACTCGTAGTGCACCCGATCTAGCGACCCACTTCTCTGCCTAGATTCGAGCTGAGTCGAGCTATTTTTTTATCGAGTCACACATATGAGCCGTCGTTCTTCCTGGAGTCGAGCTGCATTAAGTTGAGTTGAGCCGTTCCAAAGGTTTTTTTTTCTTATTTATTATTATTATTATTATTTATTGATTATATTAGAATAATTTGGTATTTTTTATTTTATTTTTATTTTATTTTATTTTATTTTTAAATGATTTTTTTAAAATTAAATTTTAAAAAAATATTTTTGAAGAAAAGTTGAAAGTATCAATTTTTCTTAAAAAAAAAATTTAAGAAAAAGTTGAAAGTATTAATTTTTCTTAAAATAGAAACTCTCAAATGCTTTTGAGAAAAAGTTGAAAGTATCAATTTTTTTTGTACAAAAGTAATGAGTTTTTTTTAAAAAAATAATTTATCTTTAAAGCTGAATCATTATTCTTTTTTTTTCTCATTTTATTTTTTTTAAAATTTTTTTAATGTTAAATAATTCGACGATAGAGCTTTTGCAAGTGAAATAGTAATTTTTTTGCATACTCTTGAGGTGAGAGAATTTTTTTTAATTTTTTGTTAAAAGTATTAGAGTCAATTGAGAATAATTTTCAATAATTAATTATTTGATAAATTTTTAAGGCTTATTGGATAACATAAAATTAAGTTGGTGTCATCTTTCGATGGGCGTTGTGAGGGTGTTATAACTTTTTTCACATGTAATCGTACTCTCAAACTTTGTTCTGATTATTAAACCTGAACCTGTTCTTTTAGGGACCCTTAGGCTTAGGGGTTCATTAAAAGAGAAATTTTTTAGGTGGTCGATCACATTTAGATAAAAAAGATTGGTGGCGATACCTAAAGACAATGCTTAGTGATGGATCTCCGGATCTAGACATTATGATAGTTTGACGACTCCACTGAGAGTCAAGCTAGCAAAAAATTGTGTTGTTTAAAAGCCTAATAAAATTGAACTTTTGTTTAGATTTTTTATTCATTTACGTTTATTTACTTTGTTAATTATGTCATTCATATGCATGTACATAACATGAGTTCTATACTCGAGCTCCGTCTTTCTAGGAGGGAGTAAAGTACCTATTACTTTCGTGAGGTTTAATGCCTCTGTAGTGACTAGCAAAATACTTTCACTCAAATTGAATTTTTTTCGTTTGTAGCCTATAATGGGTGAGGTTTGAGATGTCTTACTAATCTGTAATAGACAATGATGTAAGGAGCAATTTGAAAACTTTTAGACTTTAACCTTAAACCACATATAGTGAATCTTATAAATGCCTAACCTATAGATAGAACCATTTCCTTCTTTTTAGAATTGTCCAAAAGCATATGATTCATTTTTTTTATTGGGTGTGATGTTTTAATTTTTTTAGTTATTTATTTGCCTATTTCTCTTTATGTGATATACTAACCTTTTCTTTTATTCATGTTTGCATGATTCATACTCATATCATAAAGTTACATAAAGAATATTTGCCTGAAAGATGATATTCAACAAAAATTTTTCATGGACTCCACAGAACAACTAATTTGTTCATCATCTGTATTAGTTCCTTGCGAGTCACCCAACGAAGTAAGGGTTCAGTTAGAAAATATTCAACTGAAGATGGGGATTGTTTACTAATCGGATATGATTCTACTTTGTCTCAAGAAATATTTATCCTCTTCAAATAAAATAATATAGAGGATTTGATTGATATATGAAAGAAGATAAGTCCGTCAAGATAAAAGCAGTTTTGCCAGAGACATGGGCATATAGTACATCTTATTGCAGTAAATGTCGACAATCAACTAGTTAGAGCTACAGTGTAATTTTAGGATCTTACAAGTGTTTCATCTTCAATGAAGTGGATATGATGCCAACCATCGAAGAATATTCGATTTTATTGGGCCTGCAACTCAAGGTTCTTGACAAGATATATGTTAGAAAATACAAGTCAGGATTTCGCAAGGATTTGGCCCATCTCATGGGGATAGACAAGGAGATTGTGAATTCTCACATAAAGAAAAAACAAGAACAGTTTTGCCTACCTTGAAAATTTTTTCATGATTTTTTAGTGCAACATATCGAAGAACGAAGATTAGATGTATTTGTCTTAGCCATATATGGAATAGTAATATTTCTAAAGGTTTTGGGTCATATTGAAATAGTAGTGGTTGACTTCTTTGGGAGTGTGATCAATGGTTATAACCTTTCAACCGTAATATTAGTAGAGACTATCAGATTTTGAGTTACTGTCGTCGGAATGGAGGGCGTGTTATAGGCTACATATAATTATTATACTTATGAATGAAAAGCCATTTTGAGTGGAAAAATGTGCTTTCTCAAAGCTTTATGTCCGCAATTGAGCTTCGATCAAGAAATTCTGTGAAAGTGGGTGGTCAAAACAAAAGTAAAAAAAGGAGTGGATAGTTTTTTTACAAGAACTGACAGGTGCCAAAGTAAGGTGGTTGGTCGTATGGATGAATCGTGAACCTATGCTATATTAATGTGGATATAGTACTGTGATCCCACTTCTGGGTTTATGGGGGGTAACAAGTTATGTGCAATTTCTAGTAAGAAGACAGTTTGGGGCAGAATAGTTAATTTCTATGAGCCACGGGCTTCATCAATCGAAATTTTCTTACAATGAGCCAAAAGCATTTCAGAAGATGAATGAGATAATTAAAGCATGAAAAAATCTTTATAGAGTGAGTCTTGGATCATTCACTGATAAGGTCACTTAGGGGTACTTAGGTTGGAGAGCAAGACGAAGACAAGAAATGGTATTCACTTATAAAAGCTTTCAATCGCCAACAGAAAGAAGGCTTGAAGAGACACCATTAGAATTAGAGCTTGCGACAATAAAATTTGAGTGTGAAAAGGATAAGTTAATGCAAGAAATCCAGAAGCTTCAAGAAGAAAAAGATAAGTGAAAAGATAAAGCTAAAAGACATGAAGCTAGAGTTTGCAAGATTACTAGAGAATGTGATACAGATATTGAAGACCTAGCAGAGCTACACCAAGAACATAAGAGGTTATATGTGAGAGAAAGGGTCAAGGAGATAACAATTGTTGAGCTCACTGAAGAGAATAAGCGATTGAAGCAAGAGTATGCTGAATTAGAGAAAAAAGTACTCAAGTATAGACAGAAAATAACATGTTGAATAGTTACTTAAGCAGGTTGAAACAGGTTGAATGAATAAGAAGACTACATTGTTGCATTGGTTAGAGAGTATAGAGAGTTATCATACTAAGTTTGGTGTGGTAAAAAAGAGAACCTAGGAAGACGATAGTACATTAAGCACCTAACAACCTAAATTTGCAAAGGGGTATACAAGGCAAGAGAGATGGTAGAATAGGTAGAAGCATTGAAAGAAATGGTAGTCCTAGTAGGAGAACATGGGGCAGTGTCTTTTGAACTTCATCGAGGAAGTCAGAACCCAATATAAGCAGATCAAACTCATCACCATGTACAATCGAAAGATGGCAGTTCATGTCTATAATGAAAAATTATTAATGCATATCTTTCAAGATAGAATTATAGATTCTGCTGCTAGGTGGTATGTCCAACTGGACAATTCATATCCGTTCTTGGAGTGATATAGGCAATGACTTCATTAGTCAATATCGACATATTATAGATTTGGCTCCTGATCATTTGTCTTTACAGAATTTGGAGAAAAAGGTAAATGAGTCTTTTACAGAATATGTTCAGAGATAGAGAGATGTAGTTTCTCAAGTGCAACCTTCTCTGACTGAGAAAGAGAGTGCAGTGTTGTTTGTCAGTATTTTGAAATCTCCTTATTATGAAAAGATAATAAGGAATGCAACCAAAACTTTCGCTGACAAGGTGATTTCTGAAAAATTATTGAGAGTGCCATCAAGAATGGTAAGTTGGAAGGAGATGAAGCATCCAACAAAGGAGCCCTAAAAAAGAAACAGACTGAAGCTCAAGTTGTGAGCTTTGATAGACAGCAATTCGAAGGTTATAAATCTTACTCACCACAAGGATACCTTTCACATTATCCTGCTGTAAATAACACTTTTTTTTACCCATACCAACCATTCGTACAATCATCTTATCCTCAAACATATCAACCTCATTTTTGGCTTCAAAATACCACATATAGTCCTAGCATTCAACCTATCCCAAGACTCTAAACTCGTTCAGCAAGTCCAATGAGAGGTTTTTGAGAGCAACGAATCACTCGCGAAAAGCTTGTATTTGACCCAATCCTCATGACTTATATAGAGTTATGTCGTGAGCTTTATAACAGTCATCTGATTGCTTCAAGTAAGAGCCACTCAAGTCACCTTATCCTAAGTGGTATGATCCTACAGTCCATGGTGACTATCATTATGGATTTATTGATCACTTCACTGAAACTTGCATTGTCTTGAAACACAAAGTGCAACGGTTGATCAAGGATGGAATGATTAGTTTTGATATAAAAGGGGTAACTGCATCAAATGTTGATGGTAATTCTTTGTCTAATCATAATATGAATGCTCTGAGTAATGAACAAGGGCATCATTTGAAGAGAAAAGTTACAGATATTAAGACACCTTTCAATTAGCTGTTTGATGCTTTGAGTAAAGCTGACATGATACAACAAGTGAGTCCACGCTGTTATCATGGAACATATATAGCAGGCACTAGTTGTAAATAGCATAGTGGGCAATGGGTCATCCTATCGAAACTTATGAGCAGTTTCACCAAGAGATACAAAAGCTTTTGGATTCATATCAGATTGAGGTTTATGAAAAGGAAGAAGACTTAGAGCGTGTTAAAGTATCCATGACTGACAAGCCCGTAAAATTATTTTCAAAATCGGTGATGATTCATTGTGGGAACAAGGCAAAGTCAGTTCTAGACAAACTTATTCCCCGACTGGTAACTTTTAAAATTTTAACCCCCTTCCCATATAAAGATGATAAAGTTGTATCCTGAAAATATGATTGTGATACAGTGGTTCAGGGGTAAGAAGAGAATGTCTCTAAGACTGATGCCTCAAATATAACTGGTGTAAGAGATATTACTCGAAGTGAAAGATGCTACATTTCAGAAATATTGGAGAAGGCTAGAAGGGAGAAAGTTAAGGTAGGAGAAGAACGGAATAACCCTGAAGTGAAACCTGAAGAGAATCGCCCGAAGTTGGTGTCAGAAAAAGAGGCTTGTAAATTTTTAAAGTTGGTAAAACATAGTGAATATTTTGTTGTTGAACAAAATGTCAGCATAAATCTCATTATTATCACTGTTATTGAATTCAAAATCACATCGAAATTCTCTGCTGAAAATATTGAACCAGGCATATGTGGACATAATGTATCTGTTGAATATGTGAACCATCTGGTTGAAAATTTAGTAATGTCAAAGTATATTTCATTCAGTGATGATGAGATTCTCCTATAAGAAAGATGAAGTACCAAGGTTTTGCATATCACAATTAAATGCAAGAGCCATATCATGACTAAAGTTTTTATTGATAATAGCTCCGTTATCAATGTCATGCCTATGTCCATTTTGGCAAGGTTACCTATCGATTACTTTCATATGAAAAACAATCAACTGATAGTGTGAGCTTTTCATGTGACTAGAAGGAAAATCTTGGGAGATATCAAGACGCCCTTACAAATTGGGTCATGCACTTTTAATGTGAAATTTCAAGTAATGGATCTCTCCGTCTTATAGCTATATATTAGGAAGGTCATAGATTTACATGACAAGGGCTGTTCCTTCTATTCTTGACCAAAAAATTAAGTTTAATGTGGAAGCCCAGTTAGTGGTAGTGTTTGGGGAGGAAGACATGCTAGTGACCTAATTTTTGAATGCTTCATATGTGGAAGTTATCGAGGAAGTAAAGGAATGTTTCTATCGATCTTTTGAATTGGTCAACTCTGTGGGTGAAAGATTTACAAATCAATTTTTTTCAAAGATAGTGACGAGTCAAGTCATCAATAAGGGTTGGTATCTAGGAATAGGACTAGGCAAGAACTTGTAAGGAGTAAGGGAACCTCCAACAATGGTAGATAATAGTGGAAAGCTAGGCTTAGGCTATGAAATAGCAGAATGAGAGATCAAGTGAAGGTCAGCAGGTAAAACAACAAAACTAATGATTATCTCACACCTGTACGAGACTTTCAGACTTGGAGGATTCATGTACCCAGATGCAGAAAAAGGTATGAAAGAAACTTTCGCCCAATTAATCATCCATGCTATTAAAGATGAAATGGCACTTAAGCAAGAAGGGTGGGTTACCTTTGTCCGTCAGATTATGAGCTGAACAATTGGAGTGCCATTGAAATGCCTTTGACCTTTGAAACTAATTCAATGTAATTGTACATCGCAATAGTTATTACCCAAGGCATTGAGGTGATCTTTCTTGTTTGGGTCATTTATCTTTTATTATTCTAATAAAGATTAGAAAGGATGCATTTTCATTCATTTCTTCTTGTGTCTTCATTATTGCCATTTTTCTCAAATTCATCTTGTCAACATATCTCATTTCATTCAATTTCAGGTGTTTAAATGAACATGAAGATAATTATGATAATAATCAAGAGGTTAGTTTTGATAATTCAATTAACATCGATGAACTTGACAATGAAGAGAATTTTAAGGAATATGTTATGCCTCCAGACTGAATGAGATTGATTGAACAAGAAAATAAGCTAGTTGAGCCTCATCAAGAGATAATTGGACTTAGTGAATCTAGGAGATGAAGAGAATAAGAAAGAGATCAAAATCGACACTTCATTTTTGTCACAGGATAGGCAACGTTTGGAAGATCTATTTTGAGAATTCATAGATGTGTTTGTTTGGTTTTACCAAGATATGTCAGGGTTAAGTACGGAGATAGTGGAGCACAGATTACCCTAAAGTCAGAATGTAAGTCAGTCTAGCAAAAATTAAGGGGAATGAAGCTTGAAATACTATTAAAAATCAAAGAAGAGGTGAAGAAGCAGTTTGATGCAAGATTCTTATAAGTGGTTGAGTATCCAGAGTGGGTGGTCAATATAGTATCAATTTTTAAGAAAGATAAAAAGGTACGAATGTGTATAGACTATCGTGATTTGAATAGGGTTAGACAAAAGATAATTTTTTTTTGTTTCATATCGACACACTGGTAGATAACACAGTTAAAAATTTAATTCTTTTATGGATGGGTTCTCAAGGTATAATCAGATAAAAATGATTGCAGATGATATGAAAAAGACTACTTTCGTGACTGTGAGAAATCTTTTTGTACAAAGTCATATTTTTGGGTTAAAGAATATTGGGACAACATACCAAAGGGTCATGGTGACGTTCTTTCATGACATGATGCACAAAGAGATTGAGGTGTATATAGATATGATTGTAAAATCTCGTGAAAATGAAGATCATATCAACTTTAAAAAATTATTTGAGAGATTGAGAAAATTTCAGCTCAAGTTAAATCTAGTTAAGTGCATTTTTGGGGTAAAATCAAGAAAGTTATTAGGTTTTGTGGTCAGTGAAAGAGGAATTGAAGTTGATCCAGACAAAATACGGGTCATTCAAAGTTTGTCACCTCTGAGTACACAAAAAAAAGTTTGAAGTTTTCTGGGAAGGTTAAATTACATTTCACGGTTCATATCTTAGCTTACTTATAAATGTGATCTTATTTTTAAGCTTTTTCGCAAGAATAATCTTGAAGAATGGAATGAGGAATGTCAAGTGACTTTTGATAAAATTAAGCAATACTTGTCAAGTCCTCTCGTGTTGGTGTCACCTGTTTCAGGAAACCTTTAATTTTATACCTGACAGTGTAAGAGAATTCAATGGGATGTGTGCTGGGGCAGTAAGATGAGTAAGGTTAAAAAAAGAGCTATTTATTATTTGAGTAAAAAATTCACTGAATGAGTCAAAGTATTCTCTTTTAGAAAAAATGTGTTGTGCATTAGCTTGGACTACAAAAAGACTCAGACAATACATGTTCTATCACACTATTTGGGTTATAACCAAACTGGAGCTAATCAAATACATTTTCGAGAAGTTTTTTTTGTATGAAAGAATTACTAGGTGACAAGTAATGCTCTCGGAATATGATATCGTATATGTAAGTCAAAAGATAGTAAAAGAATGTTATAGTTGAGTTTCTTGCAGATTGTGCTACTGAAGAATATGAACCAATGAGATTGAAATTTTTCAATGAAGATCTAATGACTATTTTCTAATTAGAGAATGGGAAGCATGTAGAAAAATATTAGAAGATGTATTTTGATGGAGCTGTCAATGCTTTGAGACATAGAATTGGGGTAATTTTGATCTCTCAAGAAGAACAATACTATCCTGTAACAGCGAGGTTAAATTTTAATTGCACAAATAATATCGTTGAATATGAGGCATGTGTCATGGGTTTACAAATTGCTATAGATAGAATAGTGAAAGCATTAAAAGTGTTTGGGGATTCAGCTCTAGTTATATATCAGTTGAAAGGAGAATGGGAGACGATAGATTCAAAACTCGTTTCATATCATAATTATATTTTAGAGTTGATAAAGTAGCTTGAAGATATCCAGTTTGACCATTTACCTCGAGAGGAGAATTTGATTGTCGATGCCTTGGTTACTCTGACTGTAATGATTCGAATTAATGACAATGCTGACATTCAGCTTATCAGGTTAGATGTTAAGATTATGGCAGCTCATTGTTCTAATGTAGGATAAGATGAAGATGAGAAACCCTAGTATTATGATATTTTACAATATATTAAGGATCAGCAATACCAGTTCAAGTAATAGAGAACGATAAAAGGGTCATTAAAGATTAGTTATGAGCTTTTTCTTGGATGAGGATGTTTTGTATAAAAAAAGCTATGATCAAGTATTGCTGAGATGTGTAGTAAGGCGAAAGTAAGAAAAATCATTAAAGAAGTGCATGATAAAATGTGGGGCACATGCCAGTGGACATATGATGATGAGACAGATCATGAGAGCAAGATACTGTTGGTTGACAATAGAGAGTAATTGCATTGACATGCTTGTAAATGTCATAAATGTCAAATATATGCTGATAAGATCCATGCTTCATCATCTGTTTTACATGTTTTGGCACCACTTGTCATTCTCAATGTGGGACGTGGATGTCATTGGTCATATCACCCTAAAGGCTTTTAATGGGCATAAGTTTATTTTTATGATGATAGACTGCTTCACGAAATAGGTGGAAGTATCATTTGGGAATGATGGTCTGTGTTATGTAAGTTCATAAAAAGAAAAATCATTTACAGATATGAACTTTTAGAGAGAATTATTTCAGATAATGCCAAGAATCTGAATAGCATAATGATGCAGAAAACATGTGCCCAGTATAGGATAAGCATTAGAATTTGGTATCATATTATCCAAAAATGAATGGGACAGTTGAGGCGACAAATAAGAATATAAAAAAAATTATTGAAAAGATGATTGGGACCTATAAAGATTGGCATGAGAAGTTGTCATTTACACTGCATGTATATTGAATGTCATTGCGTACCTTTACTGGGGTAACTCCATTTTCTTTGGTTTATGGGATAAAAGCTATACTACCAGTGGAGATAGAAATCCCATCTTTGAGGGTTTTGAAAAAAGTTGAACTAGAAGAGGTTGAATGGATTCGAGAGCGCTATGAGCAGTTGAATCTCATTGAGGAAAAGAGATTGACAGCGTTATGCTATGGTCAGTTATATCAAAGAAGAATGATGAAGGGCCATGATAAAAAAGTTCGACCTCGTTGCTTTCGAGAAGGCGAGTTAGTTTTAAAAAGAATTTTTCAAAATCAACACAATAATAGAGAGAAATGGACTTCGAATTGGGAAGGATCATATGTGCTAAAACGGGTTTCTCGGGTGGAACATTGATACTGGTTGAGATAGATGAAATGATTTATCCCATCCTATAAATTTTGATGCTGTGAAGAAGTATTGTATAAAAAAAAAAAAAAAATGAAATGAAAAAATGAAAAAAAATAAAAAAATATGAAAAAGAAAAGAAAAAGAGAATGAAAAAGGAAAACTCAAGATAAAAACCCTAAAAGGGCTGTTTGAGTCATAGGGGGTTTATCTAAGTTGAAAACTTGAAAAGGCAGATAAAGAGAATATAGCATCAAATTTGAAATTTCATTGGCATGGAGGCTAGCAAATTCGGAGGAGCTCTAAGTTGTTAAGTGCATCAGATGATTGGGTTTTCAGAAGAACTTTGAGATGTGTTATCATGATTATCCGATTGTTCATTTTTGGGCAGTGTCTCTCTATGCCTATTTTTGTAATTTTTTTTTTGTCAAAGTTTGTCAACATTTTTGCTAATAAAAGACATTCTATTTCACTCTTTGTGTGCCTCTTTTGTTGATTGTTTCTCAACCATTCTTATTCATTTATTCTTAATACCTTATAATGGAAGAAATGTATAAATGCATTCTTATTTTTTGAGTTTGAAATAATGATTGATAAATGAATAATGGCATGAAAGATTTCTACATTATATTGAAGAAGTCAAGAGTGATAAAGGTAAATTTGGGATGTGCAGTTCCTGATAAAGACATTGAATTTGGAAAGAGATTGCCTGTAGAAAGGATACGAGAATTAAATGAAAAAGATGATTAAGAGTTATGCTGACTTGGTCTTTGAAAAACAAAGGGTTCATGGCACAAGAAAAGAGTTTAAGAAACTTGAGTACCATAATAGAATAAGAATTAATTAGCCAGCATTTGCATAGCATGCATTGAATTTCGTATAGCATATACTGCATTCAAGAAAATATAGTGCATAAATTCAAGAAGAATGGGTATTTCAGGATCTCATATAAAAAAGATAGATGTAAAGACTTTTCAATTCTCGTTCGAGAAAAAAGCTTGTGAGATAAGTCTTTAATCATTGGAAAATGATATCTTTTGGCATCAGGATTAATTTGTAAGACCTTTGGGCATAATTTCATGAAATTCCTTCAAACCTGATCTTTGACTCCTTTGGACATGATTGTTAAAGAGTAATTTATTTTTTCAAAGTCGTTGAGCTTCTGTTTAGAGGAGCTTTGTTTATTTTTTCAAAGTTATTGAACCTCTGTTTAAAGGAGCTTTGTTTATTGTTCCAAAGTCGTTGAGCCTCTGCTTAGAGGAGTTGTATTTATTTTTTCAAAGTCGTTGAGCCTCTAATTAGAGGAGCTTTAGTTATTTTCCAAAGTTGTGAGCCTCTTATTAGAAGAGCTTTGTTTATTTTTCAAAGTCGTTGAACCTCTACTTAGAGGAACTTAATCAAAATTTCACAAAAAAAAACAAGAAAATATAAAAAAAAGAGTCGAGTGGAGCCTTGAATAGGTGTTTACGTCTCTACATAATTTTTGTTTCATAAAAAATGTGCAAAGAGGTGAAGTTGTAGACAATTAATTTAGTTCAGGTCCGGATTAATTGAGCCTGGTCCAAATGGGTAAGCTTACTTGCATTTTTATTTTTATTTATTCATTTATTTAGAAATGTATTTTTTAATATATTTTTATTATTATTATTTATCAATTAATATATTTATTTATTTATTAATATACATATTTTATTATTGT